AAAAAAAAAAAAAAAAAAAAAAAAATCTAAATTTGAGCTCCCATGATCTGGCTGTCTTCTCATGTTTCCCAGGAAAGTGCGCTAGTGAGGGAAGAATAGTTTGGCTTAGTAATCACTTCCCCAGGTGGGTTGAACCGGTGTGGAAGGCATAGGGTGCATCTGTAACAGGTGGATGGGCAGAGCCAAGTGCCATCCTCAGCCTCCTTGCCATTATCTCCAAACCAACAAGTTGCCTGAGAAGTCGGGTTCCCTCTGGTGGGACACCAGGTGGAATGTTCATCAGAACATCTGTTTCCTTGAAGGATCAAATGATCAGGCTCAAGCAAAATACTATGTACCCAGATCTAAAAATAACTCCATCTCTTCAGTCTGGATTGAAGTCATTCTTTCAGGTGCAGAAAAGGAAAGCACGACTGCGTCACTAACTTAAAATAGGAGTAGGGTCAGAGGGGCAGCTTGGCAGGTGCCAAGTAGGCAGTTTCTCAGCTGGTATTTCCTATGCTTCCTGTTTTGGACGCAAGTTCCTGTCTATTCCAAGATGGTATGTGAGTGTGTATGCATATGTGTATATTTCTGAAGTTCAGTTGCATTGTTTTCTCTCTTTTCCATGCTCATGTCAATAGACTGCTTTTATTGTCATTAGTTTTTTATCCTTTGTCCTTAGATATTTTAGCCATATAAACTAAAATAGTCAACTTAGACTCTTTTTCCTTAGCTACATTCTATGGATTCCTGCTGTTTCCTTTGCATATTCGTCCTTGCCCAGAGAACAACAAGGGAGCCACTAGTTGGGTAATTTATTTGACCCCATGCTGTGTTGGAGTTTTCTGTGGAAAGGTGGCTTCTTTTTGAGGGAAAGTTCACTGAAATCTAAGATCCTACCAATTCTAAGAATCTTCCATTTTATATCTTTTTCATAACCCAGCTATATTTAAGTCAATAAATTATATTCAAGATTGACTATTACTGATTCATTCAATGATAGGACTTCTGGACAAGACTAGATGGTGTAGACTCCTTTATCTCATCTCTCTGCCAGATGAGTATAAGGCTGAATGCTGGAAATAATGCTAAAGGCTCAAAAAAGGGGAACTCTGAAGGGGGAGAAAGAGGAAGTAGTTAGGGATCCCAGGACTGGAGAAACAATAGGCAGTGGGGTGATGTAGTTCTGGTATTTCCCAAAGACAGCGAACGTAGAGCCAGTTCTCCCACTTCATGGCAGGCCTGAGGGTCTCCTCCTTCCTTGCTGTCAGGCACTTAGGATGATCAGATGGTCACATCATAACAAACAGCCTTATTTGGGAAGCCCTCTTGGTCTTCCTGGTCTTACGATGGCCTTCCCATGTTGAGGCACCAAGAGGTCCAGCCCAAGGAAATTCCTCAGCCTCCTAGCAGTACTGGGAAGGATCAGGAGGAACCTAGTAGGCTATAACTGCAATCAGAGCCATTGAACCCACAGACCACTAAGCAAGGCCAAGATCCGTATGTCAGACCTGTACAGGGTGATCGCCTACTTAAAACTAAATAGGTTTCAGAATCTCTTAATGTAAAAGGCAAGGTGACCAAAAACAATAAAAAGCACACATCATACTAAGAATCAGGAAAATCATTTAAATGAGAAATGAATCAGCTTACACACTGAGGTGAATCAGAAGGTGGTATTATCTGACTTAGACTTTACAGCAAACTTCATAAAAATACTTCAGAAAACAATTGCAAATTCTCTTGAAATGAATGAATAGACAAATTTCTGAAAAGAAATAGGTGCTGTAAAGGAACACTCAAATGGAAACTATAGAACTTAGAGATAAAATAAGAGAAATGAAAAGCTCACCCTGGATTTACTTAGTAGTTGAATGGCTATCACAGCCAATAGGATCAAATTGAGGCAAATAAACAGATACAACCAGTCTGAATAATAGAGAGAAAATAAATTGCCTACTGTGCATGGTGACTTGGATTCACAAATTACCAGTATTAACTTCACCTCAGGGTTCTGTTTAATCAACTTGAGGTAAATAGTTTTAGATGAATGACAAATAATTAGAATGTTAAAAAATGTAAATATTCTTAGTAACATCAAAATACAGAGAAATAAATCTAATTTAATTGAAAATTACAGGATTGTTATTGAGAGAAAGTAAAAGAGTTCTAAATAAATATTCATAGGATAAAAGACAATATCTTTATGGTTAATTCTTTCCAAATTGATCTGTAGTCAGTGGAATTTTAATATATAGTCCAGTAGAATGTTATCCTTTTTGTAGGAATAACTTAATTCTTTATTTACAAAAAACAAAACAATCTTGAATAAGAACACTTGTCAAGATTTATTCTCAAGGTTTAGCAAATAAGATGGTGAGATTTGCCTAAGTATAGACAAAGAGACCAGTGGAAAATGAAAGAGAGTCCTAGAAAACAGTCCACACATATTTATTCACTTGATTAATGATAAAAGTGACCATGTTATGCATTGGACATGGGAAGGTAGTCTTTTCTTAAACACTGCAGGTTGAATATCTGTATTTTTTATTTTTATTCTTTATTTATTTATTAATTTTTGGTACTGGGGATTGAACTCCTGCCCTTGCACTTGCAAGGCATACAGCGGAACCACTGAGCCAAACCTCTGGCAGATATCTATTTTTTTTTAAATGAAACTTGGCCCTACTTCACGTCATACGCAAAAATCAATCAAAGGTCATAGAGCTCGATGTGAATGGCAACAGACATCTTCTAAAAGAAAACATAAAAGGGTAATTTCATGACCTTGGAGCATATTTTTCTCAAATGTAATACAAAAGATATTAATCACAAAGGAAAAGGTTAATGAATTGGACATGATTAAAACTGGGAACTTCTGTTTGTCAGAAGATATAATTAACAGAACAAAAAGGTAAGCCACAGGAAGTAAAGAATTGCAAATCATAAACCCAGTTAAGGAGTTGTATCCAGAATCTACAGACTTCCCCTAAGTCATTAATAACCTACTAGAAAAAGTGGGCAAAAGACTTGAACAAGCACTTCACAAAAGAGGCCTGGTGATTAACCAACAAACAAAAGTAGGAAAATGTAGACTAGAGTCACAGGAGACATCACTACAGAGCCACCAGATGCTACCACAGGTGCTAGAGGGGATGATGATACTCCCTACACCTGAGCATGTGTGTATCTCGTGACCCAGAAATTCCACTCCTAGGTAGAAACCCAATGAAACACAAACACATGCGCACTAGAGACATCTACCAAGCACACACACCTACCTAGTTATAGTAACCAAAGTTCAGAAGCAACAGTAGAAGGGATGAATGTATCATGAAGAAGTTAGCAATGAAATTGAACAACCCAATGCAATACACAGCAAGATGGATGACTCTCACAGAACATCGTATTCAAGACAACCATACAGGTACCCTGAATGGTTCCACATGCATGAAGTTCAAGAACAGACAAAGCTGAGAAATGGGGACAGGAGTCAAGACAGTAGCTATCTGGAGGACACATCTGACAGATGGCACAAGGGGAACCTGGGGTGCTGGTGATGCCCTGTTTTTTGATCCAGTGGGTGATTTCACAGCTTTGTGAAAATTCTTCAAGATACTCTGCTTATCACAGGTGCACTTTTCTCTATTTACTTTTTCACTTCTACAAAGAGTTTACTGAAAAGAACATACACAGGTTTGCAAGCTGAAAACAG